ACCCCCTTACTCCAACCCCCCCACCCCTCGCTCCCTGTCCCCTGACTGCCCTCCTGACCCCATCCACATCCCTGCCCCCTGACAGGCCCCCCGGGACTCCCACTCCCAACCTTCCCTATTCCCCATCCCCTGACTGCTCCGCCAGAACCTCCACCCCATCCAACCATCCCCTCCTCCCTGACTGCCCCCCAGAGCCCCCCGCTCCCTTACCCAACCTTCCCGCTCCCCACCCCCTTACCAGCAACAGGAGCTCGCAGCTGCGACACCCGGCTAGAGCCAGCTGCACCCTCCCAGCGGGAATGGCGGGCCAGAGCGTGGCTGCAGAGGTGGGGGGACAGCGGGGGAGGGGCCAGGGACTAGTCTCCCTGGCCGGGAGCTCAGGGACCGGGCAGGACAGTCCTGCGGGCCATAGTTTGCCCATGTCTGCTCTAGTCCTTGCTTTCCTCTCTTCTCTTCCTATGAAGAGCCAGCATTGGGATTGCCTGAAGAATCCCTAAATGCTCCCGCATTGGGTAGCCAGGGGGAAAGGGGTCCTTTATGCTAAGTGATCAGCAGCTATGAGATTGGAATTTTTTTTTCAAACTGATGATTTGGTTTCTCAAGCCTCAGATGAAGATGGGGGCAGGGTGGGGGCTATGTTCAAGACTTGTCCTGTTGTGCGTCTGGACCCTGACGCTACTTGATGTGAAGGGGTTCTGTCTGCATGCCCTAGGGATACAGATAAGCAAGCTTTTGCTGTGGCAGCTCCCAGGATGTGGCACTAGCTCCTCTTGGAAGAGCTACCCCAGCTTCTCCCTCCCCTCTTTGGATAATTGAAGACCCCACACTCTGGAGTATTTGTTTCAGCTATTGTCAGTCTCATATGTAAGCTTTGGCTGCCTTTTCAGTTGCTCTATATTGTTACTACTTAGTTTGGTTTCTAGATTATTTGCTGCTTCAGTTGGTGGTGGGTGGAACGATTTACTTTGTAGGTGTCTAGGTGGGGCCAGGGTGCCTAAAAGTTATTAGACCTTCTTAGCACTCCGGCACCTCCTAGATGTCATTTGATACTCTTAGTTGTATGACTCATGCCTGACAACCCACCCCTCCCGCTGAGGTTCCTGCCTCTCTCAGGTGTGGGAAAGGCCAGGTCACGCTGGCTAGAACTTTTTTGGGGGGGAGAAGGCTTTTTTCTGGTTCCTTCACCCCATGAAACTGATGGCTTCTCAGGCTGGGGGAGGGAATGACCTCAAGCATGAAAGGGAAGATCCTGTCAACTAGTGTCTGGATTAAACATCTGTCGAACTTATCCTGTCCAGATCCCTGTGGTGCGCACAGATCTGCTGCAGATGGAGAGATTAGTGTCTGCTGGTTTAAGTGGATATATGAACACCGTCTCATGCAGCCTGTTAGCATAGCAATGGAATTGCTTTGAAGTAGGGCTTAGTGGTTAGAGCAAGAGCCAGGGAGTTGGGATTCTTGGTCCTTGTTCCTGGCTGTGCTGGTGACTCATGTGACTCTGAGTAAGTTAGCTCAACTCTTTGCCCCTATAAAATGGGAGAAGATACCTATCTTCATAGAGAGTGGCAGAGTAGCAGGGCTTAACTTATTGTTTGTAAATCACTTAACAACAGTGTGGTCCTACAGATTTATCAGCATAATTAATCTATTGCCTATATGAGAGTTTAGATCACATAATGTTAAACACTAGAACCGATCACTGAAGAATCTTATCAGGCAAGGACCAAGACCTTTCAGCCCAGAGAGACTGAAGGGTAGCCACCAAAGTAAGAATTCATCTATACGCTAATACTTCACACATTGGGGTGTGAAGATGCCATTGTTACAAGAAGAAGAGTTCTGCATTTTTAAAACTTAACTTTGGGTATCTGTTTTTTCCTAAAGAAAAAAAAATTCTTGCTTTTGAGTGTTTTAGTACAAAATGGTGGGAAATCCCAGGTTTGTATGCACAGGTAGGAGGGCCTCTGTTGCAAACATGCTTGAAACTATTCATATCTACAAGCTTAGTCCATTGACTTCATGCTTAAGGTTAAGCACCTGCATAAATCTCAGGAGCATGAGGCCTAAAGTTGTAACAGGTCTTCTGTTAGAGCCTGATATATCTGGCTATTTTGGAAACCCCCTAGCTGCACCTAACTATTCGGTCAGTGACATTTAACTGGCATGGTAACTGAAATAAATGGACTGACTTCTCATCCTAAGGCCAAGCAGTTTGTTCCTGTCTTCACTTTGTCTGTCTCTCTCCATCTCCGCAGTTTTGAGCCCCGCTTCTCCGCCTCCACCCCCTTCCATTGAGTGTCTAGCATGCTTTTTTGGGATGGGCTGGGAGAGCTTTCAACATATCTGGGGGGAGGGATAGCTCAGTGGTTTGAGCACTGGCCTGCTAAACCCAGGGTTGTGAGTTCAATCATTGAGGGGGCCATTTGGGGATTTAGTTGGGGATTAGTCCTGCTTTGAGCAGGGGGTTGGACTAGATGATCTCCTGAGGTCGCTTCCAACCCTAATATTCTATGATTCCTCCTAATGTTGTTTCTCAGAGAACCTCCAAACAGAGCTGGTCAGTTTGTTTATATATTTATATTTATATTTATATTTATATATATATAAAAAATTTGCAGAAAAATTTCAAGTTTGTCAAAACTGAAAGCATCAGGGGTTTTGTTTTTTTTTCCAATGGAACAACCAAAATTCTGAGGCACGCAGACACTTTCTGCAGAAAGTCTTGTCACAAACCTAATTTTCTATCAGCAGAGGTTCGGATGGAAAACTTTCCACCAGTGCTGGCTCCAAATGAGTGAAGGAATGGGGAGGAGCTGAACTTGCCAGTAAGGACTTCTTCTCAGGTCACTTCTCTTCCAAGAGTGGTTCCTATTAGCAGGCTGGCTAAAGTGCTGAGAGAGGGACCACACCAGTTCCAAAGATTTCAAGTTTAGCTGCCCAGTTTAAGGACCTCCTGGCCTGTGATTTTTGTTTGGGAGCAGGGAGTGGGGCATTGCAATGCAGGTGGAAGGTGGAGTTGTACCCAGGATTGTGCAGCCAAGCCGAAACCCTGCTTTATTTGGTAAATTTATAAGTTTATAATGTTTGCTGCACTGCTGGTAATGGTGAAATCACTTGAGAGGCAGAGGAACACAACATGAGGGCTGTTTGCAACCCTGTTCAGCAAATGCACATGGATACAGAGAGTGAGAAAGAAAGAGGAGAGATGAACAAAACTCAGAGAAAGAAAGGAAAACAGAGGAACATGCAAGCGAGACTGGGTCGGGAAGCAGATGGTAGGAGTGAAAGCAGGGGAAAGGGGTGTGAACAGAAAGGGGAAGGGAGAGAGAAGGAAAAATAAAGCATTCTCTATCAGCAGGACTGATATTCTGGGGACTTAATTTTTTAATGTCCCTGTTTGTATCACACAACCCGGGCATCTGTTGCTCTTTCAGGCCAGTTCCTCCCAAAATTTTCTGGATGCCTCATAGGTTGTTAGCAAAGGCCCTTTTAAAAACCCCTCCCAATCTTAATCAGGCCGCTAAATTTATTCTCTTCCTTTCAAATGAATATGCATTCTTCGCCCCCCACCCCGACTCACCCTAGAGCAGTGCTAGTCTAGACAGCTCAGGAAAAGGAATGGTTTCAGAAGCACATGGTAATTATTTGTCTGTAAACATTGATAGAATTAGTGTCAGGCGCCTGCATTATCTTGGAATGATTTGGGTTAAACAGGGCCATTAGTGGGTCATAGAGTCTATTTCCACCCTGTTACATGGATGGGACAAGACATCCCAAACAAGGAGCAGTGGAGGAGGGACAGGTGATACTGTTCACAGTTGTCCATTTATAATTATATGGGTCTGTACAATGCCAGGTCTGTGGTGGAGAGCACAGATCTGCCCTAGCCTTTCACCTCTTCAAACAAGCTGCCTGTGAGATTTAGTTTGTGAGTCTCAATCTAGCTTCTACTGGACATCCGGCCACAACATTTGCAGTGCGATCCACACAAGTGGACATACTTGGCTGTCTTTAATCCAGAAAGGCTGAGTACTTGGAAAGGCCTATTGCAGGGGTGGCCAAACTTACTGACCCTCTGAGCCACATATGACAATCTTCAGAAGTTCGAGAGCCGCGGCTGAAGCCCCAACACCCCGTTCCCCGCTCGGCAGAAGCCCCTATCCCACAACCCTGCTATAAGGCAGAGGTCCCAAGCTCCCCTCCCCCGGGTGTAGGGGAGGTGTGTGTGTGGGGGAGGGACATGGAGGGCTCCGTGAGCTGCACTTTAACTGTAAAAGAGCTGCATGCGGCTTGCGATCCACAGTTGGGCA